TAGAAAACTTTAAATCAATTTGACTGTATGATCTGGTTGAACTGTAAAGTGCCTTGAGATGATGTGTTGTAAATTGGCTCTATATAAATAAAATGAATTTAACTGTTAGATACAAACAGCAAATAGCCTAAAAATGCTTCTACTGCTATGTGACAACACCAGAAATAAACAGTACTGTCTTAAGAGGTGGGATTTGAATGAAAACTAGCCAATAACAGACATGTTTCCACCTTCAAAGTGACAAAAGGGAGCCGAAACAGATTCATACACAAGTAGGAGAGACACTATAGTCCCCTGGAAAGGAGGGCATGGGCGCAGCATGCGATTATGTAAAATGTTTAAAAGCATTTGGAGATTGGTTTGCATGTGTATCTCTGAAACAAAACTTCTTTTATGAGTATTCATTACTTGTTTGCCCTTTAGGAAGAATTCTGTCTTCATACATTAGGGTTAAATACTTTTGCCCTTTTCATTTAGGGGTCATTGATATTGTGCATTTTATTCAAACCACTAACCCTGTGTGGGACATGTATAGAAGGCAAGGCATTTAGGGCTTTCAGGATGGTAGGGGTAGCAGCGGCTGAAGTGACTACTACTACTGACTGAAACACTTCTTTAACTAATTTAGAAGCACTTTTAGTCATTGTGTATTTACCTAAGCCTTAACCTTTTGACTAATGCTTCTATATTCTTTAGTTATACTTCCACATAGTATTTTTTTTGCACCATGCTTTCCATTTTGTGATGCGAACCAGTCCCTCTAGCTGCACAAAACTCCCATGAGGCTCCCAACTAGGTTTTTAAGGTCTAAGATGGTGATCTTCGGCTTGAAAGCCTCTTATAACAATGGCTATGTTCAAACATTTTTCCTCATACCACATGACATGTTTTAGTTCTTTAATCCGGAGTTCATTTGTGAGTTCATCAGACCACTTATAGTGCTAAATGGCTTCTTCCTCTCTGAGTGGCCTTTCAGAACTCTTACCAGCTTCAACCAGCACCAGATTTTTGCAGATAACTATAACAGTTTAAAAAGATGAACCAATCCCCTTAACATATCTGGGGATGTTTAGGATGAAGCAGAGTGGTGGAGGTCAGTAAATCTCTTCTTTCTTCCCTAATGTCAAACATAAAGATAATGCATTTATGTGTGAAAATGCACAAATGTCATCCAATTTGTCTAAATGCATAGTAGTCTTCCCAAATGAGGTTAAAATGTCTCTCATTAATATAATACTAGCCACAGATCTTGTTAGACTCATGAGAAAATCTAATTGCTAATAAACTCAGGCTATGTGAACTGTTTGGATAAAAATATTTGGTGATCATATATATTTATCCTCAGCATTGTTTAAAAAGATCAGTGTGAAAAATCTAAATTTTAACAGAATGTGGATCGTCTCTGCAGGGACCGGTGGGACCCCCAGGGAATCCAGGCCCTGTGGGACAGAAAGGCTCCAAAGTAAGTTTATTCAAACTGAAAGAATAATAGAAAAGATGCCTATAAAAAGTCACCAGACTGTCATCTAATAATGTTTTACCTGCTTTTATTTTTTAACCTGTGACAGTGGTTCTGATCTTGTTTGCTTTTAGGGGGAACGTGGAGCTCGGGGACCTGCAGGAGAACCAGTAAGAACAGATTTATGGCAAAAAAATCCTCATAGAATAGTTCACCATCAAGCCTGATTTCCATAAGGACTTAATCGTTCTACCTCATGTTGCTGTAAAACGATGAATTGTTGCTTCATCAGTTTGTTTTCTTCTGACTGTATCTGTTAGTCTATATTATGATTTCCTAATGTGTGATTTGTCATCCAAAGGGGGTAGGACCTGATGGGACTGATGTAAGTACTCCCTGTCTGTGTGACTCTCTGTCTTTTTGTCTCTCTGTTTGGCTTCTTGTCCATCTGTCTGTCTGCATGTCTGTCCATCCATCCGTCCATCTGCCTGTCTATGTTCTTTTTCATCAGTTTGCCAGTACATCTGCCCGTTTTCAATGACTCATAGCTAACAGAAGCATATTTCATAGTAATTAATGTTTTTCTGAAGCAAAGATTTTTTTTATTTACTAAAATAGCAAGAACAAGTAAATAGGAACAATTTAGTTTCAGATAAAACTTATTTTATTTTCCCTTTTCAACAATAAAGCTTCATTCTGTTAATAATACAAAAGTATCGAATTAGAATCCCTTTATATGTACAATTTAAATCATTAAATTGTACAAATAAAGAATCTAGTGTCTTTCAAACTGCCTCCTTCCTTTGTTGGTTATAAAATCCGGATCAGGGAGAATCTGACGAACCAAACCTAGCATGTTTGCCAGTTTAGCAGCACACTCAGTGAATTTTCTGCTTCTTCGCCTGCAGGGTATTCCTGGTACTGATGGGCTACCAGGTGAACTGGGGAGAGCTGGACCCCCTGTGAGTATAAGGAACACAGTAAAACTGACAAAGCAGTCTTATATTAAGTTATTGGGGGTTCTTTTATGAAGAAAATACTCTGGTCTAGACATTCATAACTAAATAGTGACAATCAATCTTCTGTATCTGTCAAAGGGATCGAGAGGGAGGAGAGGTCCCGTCGGTCTACCAGGTCTTGCTGGTCCTCGGGTAAAGATCCATCTTTCTGTCTGATTGCTCTGTTTTATTTGTGGAAACTGGTCATGGGGGAAACGTTGACATTTTAAGTTATATAAAAGGCTATTTTATGTCAAACTTTAAGCGGTAAGACACTCTTCACAATTCTGATCAATAAAACCAATGTAACATATCTCGATGTCAGGAAAACAAGCCCAAAATGATGGTAAAATGATCAGTTTTTTGCTCAAATTAAGTGCATTTTTTCTTGAATTCAGGAGGTAAATGAGACACTTTGCCAATGGAACAAGATCATTTACACTTAAAATAAGAAAAAACAATTGCTTTGTCTTATTTCAAGTGTATATTATCTAATTATCTTATTTTAGGAGTAAAAATACTCATTCCATTGGCAGATCATCTTATTTGCCTGCTCAAATTAAGGGTAAATACACTTCATTTAAGACATTTTTTACTTATTTCTAGATGTTTTTTGCAGTGTAGGCCAGTTTATTTCAGCACATTTTAGAAAATTCAACATGCTGTGGATGAAAAAAAGAAACAAGTACATCACTGCAAAAACAGATCTAAAAGTAAGTAAAAAAAATAACAGCCTTACAATAAGTTATCTGCCCTTTATTTGAGCAGGTAAATAAAACAATCTGAAAATCGATTGTAGATTTCTGGCACTTAAAAATAAGCTAATTGTACACATGCTTTTTTCCTATTTGTCCTATTTACTCGCTCAAAACATGGAAAAATAAACTTTTTTAAAAAATGTAGTTACTCAAACATCATTTTTGTTGCAGGGGCATTAAGGTATTTAAATAATAAACAAGATAAATAGTTTTAGAGAATAAAACATATGAATTAAAACGACTAATAGGAATGTTTGACAAAAAACATGTTTAGATCGGAAAGTCAAAGGTCCATCTGAACCGATAATAATCTCGATTTAAAGCAACCGAGGTTTTTAGCACTTTTATAGTTTATTCCCGATTAATGGAGCATAAGAACTTAAACCTGCTTTCTATGTTTTGTTCTGGTTCTGGTTCTGCAGAATAGATTAGATCCAGTAGTCCTGAAAGGTCTGGCTTTTGATCCACTGACATAAAGTCTGTGATTATTTTAGAGCGAAGCCATTCAGTGATTTATAGACTAACAGAAGGATTTTAAAGTCTACTCTCTGAGATACAGGGAGCCAGTGGAAGGACTGTGGAACTGGGTTGATGTTCTCCACTTTCCTAGTTCTAGTGAGGATGCAGGCAGCAGCGTTCTGGATCAGCTGCAGCTTTCTGATCCTCTTTTATAGGCAGAACTATGAAGACACTCCTGCAGGGATTAATTCTACTAACGATGAGCGAAGCAGGAATTTTATCAGGGTCTTTTCAGGTTTTTCCGTCCTTTAATCCTGGAGATGTTCTTCAGGTGACAGACAATTGATTTTGTTACTGTCTTTGTTACAGACGTTTTTTCTCATATGGCTCCCAGTTAACAGCGTTACCTTGAGTCCACCATTAAGGTCTTTGCAAGTGTTGTGTTGTTCATGAATTACATAAAGTGACTGTGCCCTAATTTAACAATGCTCATGTTTTTCTTTTATCAGGTTATGATGAAGCAGGCAATGATCATATTGGAAACTATATAAAAAAAACAGTGCTATTTGTTGATAAAACTAAAAATCTCATTTCATCTCATGTCATCTTTTTGGGTAAATGCGTATTTTAAACAGACGTAGATAGCTAAATATCTTTTGTGAAATTTTGAGCTTTTCAGAGAAACATCAGTAGAATTAAATGTGTAATATTTGATACAGATTGTAGATTCATGCTATATTCTTTTATGCCAATAGAATAACATTTTTTTGTGCACATTTCAGGGACCTCCAGCTGTTTACCAGGGGGAGGATCTGGTAAGTAGTTCTTTTGATTAGAAACTAAATATCATGGTAATGTTTTTCATTTAACATGAAACCAGGAGGACAGGGAGATTTCTCAAGGCCTTATTTTTTTATACAAGGAGCTGGACTAAATTTTATAATAGTTAAAGGCCTTTATAACTTGCTTGTCATTCTGGGCAGCATGTTTGTTTATAAGCTTCCATTGACAATTATATTCACCACAAAGCATTACTACCACTGAAAGTAATTTGGATATTGGAGAAACCCCCTCTGAAGGTCTTACAAGTCAAATAAAGAATCCTTGGAGCGGTGGGAAGGCCAACAGCTGGTTTCATTGACCCACATTTTAACCTTTTTCTTATACAGCTAATTAAATATTCATTCCAACAGTCAATATAGACATGCTGTAACCTGACTCCATCTGGAAACCTTCGGTTGAAGTAATTTTGGGAAGGGGCGAAAATACTGGTTAGCTGATTGGCCTATGTTGGTGATAGACGGGCCAAATAAACCAATCAGATCAACGAAGCATATGAAGTACTAACAGCCAGGCTACTCTTGACAAAACCAGTCGGGAGAAGAGCAAAAACATCTTTTCCTCTGAGAAAAGCCTCCAGAGCAGTGTTTTGCTCTTTTTTCAGTGAAGAAATACTCTGTAATTCCGATAAAACTTGCTCGATAGCCACGCTAACGCTAGTTTCATCGGCTGAAGCCGCCATGTTCTTTAGACTGAACTGTCGCGCTTCTCGTTGCCTCACACCTCAACCCGCCTCAAAGCCAACGCTGATTGGATGTTTGTTTGGTGAACGGCTCCAGATTTTCTTTAACGGAGAGTCTCCAGTAGCCTGACGTAGTCCTACTCAATTCTAGTCAGAATATGAGTCTGATACTGCTCCATAGAGCTGTGATTATGGGGCGTGTTTCGAACGAACCAGGAAAAAAAATGCCTCTGCACTCAATTGGATAGACCTACAACCAATAAGAGCAACGGAGTGCGTGACGTATGTTAAGCAACCAAGGGAGCCAGCTGATAAATTAAACTTTTGCCGAATCCCGTAAGAAGGATGCCAAAAACATCTTTCTCTTCAACAAATGCCTTGATCGCATTTCTCTGTTCCTCTTTTAAAATTTATTTGCTGTCGATATCTTCTAGAACAGACCTAATAGCAGAATCTACACACCTCAACTCTCCAGCGGCAGCCATTGTTGTTGTCACCCAAGTGTGCTTTGATGACGTGGTTGATTACGTTACTGTTGATCATCTGTCCATCATCGTATAAAGCCCGCCCTGACAATTTGATTGGCCCGACCAGATATTGTGCGAGCATACTCGCGCTACTATTGAGCAATGCCAGACCGAACTTCCCGACCAGCTAACAGAACTGACAAAAAGTCCTGGATAGATGTTGAATCATTTTTCATTTTCATAAATACTAAAAAAAAGTCCAGTTTCCTTTGTTTTCAGCTTGCTTTGTCCAACCGTTTCCCATAATATAGAGTTTAGCAGAATGATTTTTCAAAGCTTTATCATATGTTTTTGGTGACTGTCATTAAAACCTAATATCAGATCAATGAAAACACCATCAGTCAAAATTAGAATCAGTGACCAAATGGTTCCAAACAACATCTCTGATTTTACGCTAACTTTCAAGGTAAAAGTAAATCTTCTACTTGTGAACTTGACTATCAGTGGGATTTTTTTCTAAACTGCAAGCATGATGTTGTATCTTTTAGTGCCCGAACGCCTGCCCCCCAGGTCTGACTGGATATTCTGGACTCCCTGGAATGAAAGTCAGTTCACTTGGAAGGATCCAGCCATCAATTAGTTTCAGTTGAGATTTTTGGGCAAATTTTTTTTACTTCTTTCTCCACAGGGCCACAAAGGGGCTAAGGGCGAATCAGGTGAGCCCGGAAGACAAGGACACAAGGTGATGTCTTGCCAAAGCATTTAAAAAAACAAAACAAAAAAAGGATTCATGTGTAAATAACCAACAATTGCATAACTGGACTGTAATCTCTAACAGGGAGTGGAGGGCGATCAGGGACCCCCCGGTGAAGTTGGAGCTCAAGGACTGCCAGTAAAATATTTCATCATTGTCCCTGAAAAGACTGTTCATTTTAAAAAGACATTGTCTTTAATCAGTCATACTAACTCATCTCTGTCTGCTGAGTGATTTTAGGGCCCTGGTGGGAAAAGAGGGGCTCCAGGAATAATGGGCCCCAAAGGAGAACGGGTAAGGCTAACAGGAAGTAAAACAAAAAGACACAATAAAAAAAAGGACAGAAGAAATACGTGAAACAAACACTCTTAAGAGAGGAATGCAGGATGGATTAAGCCATGGGGAGCTATTCTATGTTTTACTAATTTTAGCCTATCTAAAAACAAACTAATGCCAACGTCACACCTTGAAGATTTAGCTGGCATATGTTGGATAAGTTATGGGTGGTTATGAGCTTAATGAAGACACGCTGAAGCACGCTAATTAAAAAAAACACACTGGCACACGTCGACAAGTACGTTGAGAAATTTTGAGCATGCTCAAATTTTCCCGACGTATGCCAGCATATGCCCATACGTTGGACATAAGTTCCAGGTAAGTCATCTGATCGTTGACATACATTAATTGTAAGTTACTCATAAGTCGTTGGCGTCTAGCTTATCCAAAACCTATAAGTAACTCATGCGTAACTTATGAAGAACGTACCTCAAACGTCTATCAACGTATCTGACGTGTTCCAGACGACCACTGAACGTGTTTCTACCTTACAGCTAGTGTTGCACCGATGCCATTTTTTGGCCCCGATACCCGATACCTGGCTGTGCAGTATCGGCCAATACCGATACCATAATAATGTAAAATAATTGCCATCATGGCTTTGTCAAGCTGCTGCCTACCTTTGTGAAGCAGGAACAAATCTAATACAAAGCGAAACCAGTAGAACTTTTTATTGCCTACCAGGAATGGGTGACAATAGTTGAATAAACTTATGGCTCTCAAAATGGTATCGGTGCACTATTTGTTGGTACTCACCGATACCGATACCACCATTATAGGGCAGTATCGGGGCCCCGTCCGATACTGGTATTGGTATCGGTGCAATACTACTTACAGCTACTGTATGATGGCGTATTGGCAGAGTTTTGGTATAAAAGGGGGTTCACAGGGTGAGCGTTAAGGTGAGAATGAAGGATCCTCCATGCGTTCATGCTCACGGCCATGACCAAAAATCCTCCTAGCAGATATGACGCTGAATCTGCTGCAACTGCAAACGGTCTTTTTTAAAATTAATTTATTTATTATTTTTTGGGGGGGCCGGTGGGAAACAGCAGCTAGGTTAATACAGTGATCAAATAAATCTTTTATGCAGGCCGGCGCATCGCTGCCCCCACTCAGGATACTGGCTTGTGACATTTAATTGGCATTACGCTGC